GATTGTTATAACTTTATGATTTTTTATAATTCTGATCAGGGAGTCATTTAAGTAGGTGAAGATATAAGGAGGCTGAATAATTTAAAAAAGGTAGGAAGGAAGTCCTCAGATTGTTACATATCCTTATGAGGTTTCAGTCCTATGGGCAAACAAAGGTGCCACAAGAATTTTCCCAAATTGGGGGGGTCAGAAATCCTGCCTAAAAAGGAGATGCATGTCTTCCAAACTCAGTGTCCACTTTCCACTCAAGAGAAAGTGCTTGACTGCTTGTTCCCTCTGCTGACACTCAAAATACCCTCTCTTATTTTAATACAAGGAATGGGACAGTAGTAGTCACAAAGAAGATGGTCTTCTTTTCTCATCATCCCTTTCTCTCTCCCTTCTTCTGTATTATTTAAACAATGAGATGTGGTATATTATGGGATGTAGTGTATTATGGGGTAGTTTCTTCACATTACTATGTATTCTTTCTCCCAAAAGACACTGTCAATGACTGTGTTTATACATCATGCTAAGCCCATTGCATTTTAGCTTACCATTACTGCCTTGCTTTTGTCTGAATATTTTACATTTACTTGGGGTCTTCATGTGAAAAAAAGTGGGCATAACAAATAGCTAAGCATGTGGTTCTAGCAGTTCACTTTTTTTCTTTTTGTCCTTTGCTCTTATAGCCGTATCAGGTACCAATATAGAGCATGTGTGCTTGTTGTTCGTTTATGTGTGTTTGTTTATATATGTATGTATGAATATCCATCCATCCATCCATCCATCCATCCATCCATCCATCCATCCATCCTCAGACAGCTGATGCATGAAAGATTGATATTTGTATATTTCTTTTCATTTTCAAATATTTCAATAAAATAACTTCCCATACGGAGTCTGGAATATAATTGTTGACCTGCAACATGCTATTGTAATGGGAGGTTTTCCTATTCACTCTTTCATTCCCTCAGCCTGGCCATCCTCCAGGACACTCCATTCCAATTCCTACTCCCCCCTGGCCTTTTAAGAGGGTTCAGCAAAACAACAGGGATCTGTCTTTGTGATGGAATGTATCTACGAGGAGGAGAGTGATGTGGGAGATCAAGGCTATGGGGAAGGAGGGGGTGCATTCCAGGAGGGGAAAGGAGACAAGAGGCAACATAGTCCTCAGGGGCAGCGTGAGAACAGAAAGAGATTCAGGATAGCCACTCCCTAGAATCTCCCAGGATATATCCACTAGTTGCTGTAGTATAGATTTAGTTTGGCAAGATTCTGTCTATAAGGTGTAAGCTAATAAGGAACTGGACTGGACTGGACTGTTTCATCGTTGTTCTTGGGCTGGGCCTGACAATGTTGTGCATGTGGTAGTACTTTCCGTTAAGGCAAAGCAACCACTGGATTCATGTAATAATAGCTGATTCTTGGGGTTATTCTGGACAGGAGGATTTTTTTACTAAAAGAGTCCTTTTCATTAACAAGGACCTATTAAATGGATCCAGGAAAGTTCCTCATTTTTCAGCAGTACTAACAGTTTAAAAACTGTTTAATCATCTCTGCTTGGTTTAGTCTAGGGTATTGCAAGCTTCATTTCAGCTGTGTCTAAATGAATCTGAACTGAGGTAATGCGATTTGAAAGTCCACTGCAGTGAAAGTTTCGCATGCTTGGAGTTCTGATTAAAAAAAAAAAAGGTCTTTCATGTGGTTTCCACTAAAACTGCAGTTGTTCCATTACTTCTCTAAATAGGTTTTCATGTTCATTTTTCTTGCAGTAGCTTTAAATAGCAAGGGGAAAGATTAATTCATGGAAATGGCAGAGCAAAATGAAGAACGATACAAATAATGTCCCGGCTCATCACTGAAACCCCTGAAAGGTAATCAGACTTGAAACTACTAATATATGCATTAAACAATGCATATGCAACAATAGAAAGAAGGAAATAAGCTATTTTGAAATATCTTGCCAAAATGTATCGCTCCATACCGTATTGTCTCATTTCTGCGTACTGATTTGCTAATGTTTGCCTACACAAGGCCCTCTGAAAAGAATATAATGGGGACCTTACTTCCTATTCTATTCAATTTTTGTCTAGCAAATTCTTAACCAAGGCCATATTTTGAATTGGACAAATGCCAAAGGGCCTGGAAGACTGGCTTAGTTCAGCGACTTATTCCCATGACTTAAGGGATGAACTAAAAATCATGTAAGAAAATTATGATGGAATATCTGAGGTTTACATTTTTCTCTCTCAAAACAGGCTATGCCCCCGCCCCCTCCATTAATACTATGATTTGGGGAATGGGATTCAATCCTTTTCCTTTACTACTTTAGTTTCCTAATTTAAGTACAGGTAGTCCTCATTTAAACTGCCTCATATACCAATTGTTCATGGTGATGAAAAAATAACTTTACGACCAATCCTTGCGTTTACAACCTTTGCAGTGCTGTAAAGTAAAAGAAAGCTGAAGTAAGCACAGTCATGATTTCACTTAGTGACCACTTCGCTTAATGACCAAGTCACTGGTCCCAATTATAGTCACTAAACAAGGACTACCTGTAATCTCTTAAAGCTAATATTTGCCCAAATAGGGATCATATTCATACACTTTCAGAAGTAAATATAGCATTGTGTTTGTAGATGCCATAGTCCTAGTTTGTCCTTCCTTTGCCACCTCACTAGCAGTTACGTTAAGAGATCTAGTATCAGTTGTAATGAATAATAGCAGAAGAAAAGTCTGTTCTGAAGGCTAGATCTGAAATGCCTCTGAGCTAAATAGGCAGGCCTCCAGCTGCAAAATCCTAGTAAATCTTTTAGAAGAAACGTTTGAAAAGATAAGTTTTCATTTCACAATTTGTAATGTACATTTTTTTCAAAACCCAGAATGCTTACTCTACACTTGAGAACTTTGAGGCCTTGTTTCTATGGTAACTTCTGCTTGTTCTGGAATAAATGTGCAAAGCTGAAAGAAACAGCTAGCTGAAACTTAAAGAGTAAAGGAGGAGGCAGCAATGGAAAATTTAGTTATTTGGTAAAGATATAATTCTGCAGTAATCTTAGTTAAAGCCAGTAAGTAAATGCAAAAGTAGTTCTTGATGAACCTTTCTTTTTCTAGATCTATGTGGAAAAAACTTCAACGAAGTCTTTTGTTAATAACAGGCATCCAACAGCACACAAACATAATTTCACTAACGGAAAAAGACTTCTCCTTGGTCTCTCCATTCCCACCCACACCTCATAATCCAAAACTATTCAGAAGAGCAGATGTCAGATTTTTTTTTTTTCCCCAGACAGAACAGCTTTGCACACAAAGTTGCAGGTGCCAAACTCAAAAAACAGAATACCTTGTTTTTTTTAATGAAAATGGCTACAAACTCATGAGATTATATATGGGAATATAGTGAATGTGCAAATTTTAGCTGTCCAATGACATGGCAACCATGCTATTAATTTTTTAAATCAGTGGGTATCATTCTGGTATCTGCATTAAATGACACCACTTGATACAATCTGCCACCCACCAAAGCCATTCCACCATCTTCATGGCAATTAATACAAATGCATAGTACTTCTAAAGATTGGCTTCTTTCTTTAAAAAAAAGAGACAAGGAAAGGATTAAATTCCAGCTCTGTCGTGCATTCCACATTCCTAGAGCAAGGACTGCTAATTTGGGTGGAGATATAAGAAAACTGTGGTTATAACTGGTTTAATTATATATGACCAAAGATAAGACATCTTCTACCTAAAGCCAAGGCCAATCATAAGACTGTGGGGAAATAGGAAAGCCACTTGACTGGGACTTTACATTTAGACATGTGCTAATTTATTTTCCTTAAAAATATTCAAGTTACATCTTCAAGTTACATCATAATTTTTATTATGGCTAGGAGCCTTCAAAGTCTGGATCATTCTACCTTTTCAAATGTAATATTTATGTAACTATAGGTACACTCTAAGTAAGAAACAAGTGCTAAAATTGCAAACATCAACACAATTTTCATCCTTCTTCCCTTAAGGATTTTTAATCAGAAGCTGCAGTATTATTGGGAGAGAATCTAACGTCCTTAGCATCTGGTACAGAATGGAGGATGATTACTTTCTTTAACACTATTTCTTCTCTTCCAGAGTCGTAATAATAGTGAGACATGACTTTGGTAAATTCAACTTCTAAAGAAAGACTACTGCTAGTAGTCATATATGCAAAATACTAAGAATAGCAAGCTGAATCCTTTTTTTACTCAAACCAAAGATTGAGCTTTTAAGTGCCTCCTAAAAAAGTTTAAAAAGTTACTTATTTTAAGCTTCTTGCTAAATTCTAATATTTCTTTTCCTTTCCTATTCCTTTATTGACAGGAAGAACATTTCAGAAAATGTTTGTTTGTACTATTTTTACTGTTTGCACTGAGTTGACTTTTTAAATTGCTTTCATTTCAAAAGGAAGGTTTCTTCTCACCTAGAATCACTGTATTACCGTATGCAACCCTATAAACGATGCTTCAGGTACTTACACTTTATAATTATAATACACTTAACGGGCAAGGTCCAAACATATTTATGCTGTGAGTGAACCTCAGTATGAACTTCAGTTACCAGCAATTATTGCATACTTTAGCAATATTTTCTTTAGTCACTTCAGCATTACTAAGCTGACTTGCATAATATGCTAAGCTTGCTGGTTTATGTTCTAAAAAGAATGCTGAGAGAAGTCAATGGGTTGTGCATGCTTTGAAAGTTACCTGGAATAAATGCTTTGGGCTGCTGTGTAAATCTGAAGAAAAAGGTGCTATTGCTTTAAAAGTTGCATTAATGTTAATAAGTTAATTCCTTAAAGCAGCAGCATCCTTTTTTTCAGGCTTGGCCAGAAGCCTGAACCAAGTTGAGTTGCTTTAATACTGTACTGTAACTGCAGAGTGATATTGTGCGTGTTTGAGGCCCAAAGATTTTTTCTGATAATCCAATTGTGAAGCACACACAGTATGAGAAATTAGTATCTGTCAGTTGTTGCCATATTTACTCACCCGCTGACCTTCTTTTCCAGGTGGGCCTTGAGGACCTTCTATTCCTGGCACGCTCTGTAAACATAGGCAGTTTTCAAATGTTACTTCCCTCATTAATGTATCTTAAAGTAGTTGCTCTGTATTGCTAAAATAGTAAGCAAACCTTCATAAATAAAGTTTAATTTCAAGCATATTCATATAGGTTCTTATGGTTGTGGTTAGCAGATGCTCAGGTGCATAGAAAGGTCACACTGCTTTAATTGGAAAGGCTGTTTCAACTGCAGAAGTTAGCAGTTCTTGCTTGATATTTTTTAATGAACACTACGTGCTAAGTTTTGAACTGCATATACATTGAAGAAAGAATGTCAGCCTGCTTTATGAATAAATGGTAGCTTCTATATCTGAGGGTTATTTTGTATATTAATTTTTGCACATAGACATTTTTCTATGCTCTCCACTATTCTGAATGGTGAGACCAAGGCTTCAGGGGAGCCTTGACTATCCTGATGCCTCAATATATATATGATTACAACTCTCATCATCTTCAGTCAGCATGATCATTGATCCAGAAACTAGCATGCTTACTGAAATACACAAAAGCAGAGCACACATAAAGATTATAAAGAAATAGCCTGGATAGTGGAATGTCTTTGTACTTGGGAGAGCATTTGAAGAGATTTAGGCTTTGCTAAAAGATACATTTTAGAAGCAAAGTATATCCAAAAAAGCAAATGGTGGGTGGGTAAACTGTGAATGTAGTCATAGAAAAAGGAGTAATAGGAAGGAATGCTGTAGCAAACCAAGGAGTAATGCTTCGGATTTTATTTGGAGGAGGGGAAGGAAAGGGGTATAGAGGTGACAATAGAAAAACTAGGTAGGAAAAACATAACTTTTCCTTTCTTTCTCCTCAATATCTTTATGAAACATAGAAAAGAAGAATGGGGATCTGTAAGGTAAATCCTGCCCCCCTCAAATAATTTTTTTGATTAAAAAAATTTCTAGGAGAAGCCTATATAATAGGGAAATTCAGAAGAGATATTCAATCAAGCTACTGTAATTATAGGAACAACTGGAATTCGAGGCTTCAAAAGACAAGGACACAAGAGGTATAGAAACTTATACTCCCAATTATTACAGCAAAAGCATCTTTGGGTCCCTATATGGAGTGTGTGTGTGTATATGTGTGTGTAAATTAGGCATGTTGAGGTTGGTCTTTATGAAGTAGTTCTGCATATAGTGTTGCCCCCACCCATTTTCAGTTTTCGCCCCACAACATTGATGAGAGAATATCATCTTTGGGATGAACAGGTTTCTAGGTCTCACACTACTACATGTTGTCCTATGTAATCTCAAACCAGTCACTTGAGAAAGCTCTAGCTGATTTAAATTAAATGATATTACTTTGGATGACATGGCTTTAGGTTCATGGCTTTCATTGATTTTGTTTTCAAACTTCAGATCAGTACACAAGATGCGTGACCAAGATTTGAATTTTTCCTCTCTTAAATCAGCTTTGCAACCTGGGTGACATATATTTATGAAGCCAACAAAAGGGAATCTTTGTATTCATAACTACAGAGCTGTTCTCTGTCTTATATCATCAAACCATTAAAAAAAAAAGCTTTCTGTACAGCCAAGTATGTTTTGCATATTTTAAAGTAAAAAGAATTGAGGTCAACTTCAGATGATTTATCATTCATACCAAACAAGGCCAGTTCCTTTATCCCTGGAACAACATTTCTGTTTTATCCAAAAGAGAGGTATGAATTAGTCCTTGCAAAAGAAGGCTCTAGTGGAGATATTAGAATGGGGCATTTAAATAAAATACATAGGTCGTACATGACAACTTTTCTTAAATTAGCATGTCTCAAATTCTTCATAGCATGACTAGCTTGACCTCTTGATTTTGGCTAGACTTGATATCATACTGTACTCATACATTCAGCAGTGAAAGTGATAAAAAATTGAGATGAGCTCAAAAGATGCTACAAAAATTAAATTGCCAGATGATCTGTCTCAGCTAGAAGGTACAGCTGGATTCAATTAATAATGTAAATATTTTTTATAAAGATTAATTACTTCACAGAGTTCCTTCTCTCATTTTTTAATTTTTTTCCTCCCTGGCTTATATACCCAGGAACATTCCTCATGCTTAATTCATTAACCATAAACTGGCTGCATTATGGTGACATGTTATATGAAATCACAGAAGTTAAACTTCCCCTTGGGGGTCAAACACTTCCTACCTCAGATTTGGCTAAGAGGAAACGGACAGCCTCTGCTTCCTTTTTACATCACTAGTAGTTTAGCCTGTTGTCCAAGCTGTATGGCACAAAAACCGCAGCTCACAATGTCCTAACTCTCTTTTCTTTCCATGTGCTGTTTCTCCAGCTATTCTCTGCTCTACTCACCTGCTCCACCCACCATGGATTCCTCAGACTCCCCCACATTCCCTAACATCTCCAGGTTTCCACATTCATCCCTGCTGAGTTCAGCATAGCTGTCCCCACTCACAGCTTCGTAGTCCACCTTCAGATTCCCTGAATATCTCCAGCTGCCCAACCCTAATAATCCTTTACAACCTAGCCTCTAGCCTCCCAAAATATTACTGGGCACGTTTGGGCTGCTATTGGGGTTCTCTCTCTCTGTGTTCTTTTGTGGCTTATCAACGCCAAGAGTTTCCCCAAACCTGCTGATATTTTGTGTAAATATATCAGTTTGTCTACAAGGCTCCAAAGAGGTTCTGGCTGATTTCCGCATCTTAAATTCCCTGGTCATGATAAAACATTAAAAATGACAACCTGGAAGACAAAATGTTAAGGCTGAGGCCTTGTTTGAATTTAAGGCAAATTTCAGTTCCTACACCCATCCACCCATCCAAAATAACAGAAAGAAGCATATACATGTTTGCATTGTCTTCATAACATGAAGTGGCATGTGTTAAATCAGATGAAGGTGTTCCTTACAATTAAAAAGGCATAGAAATGGCATCGCTGGCTCCAGAGTGACAAAGACCTTCACCTTCCTTGTTGTTGTTGTTGTTGTTGTTCAGTCGTTAAGTTGTGTCCAACTTTTCGTGACCCCATGTACCATATCATGCCAGGCCTTCCTGTCCTTCACTGCCTCCCTGAGTTTGCTCACTTTCATGCTCATTGTTTCAGCAATGCTATCTAACCATCTCATCCTCTGCTGTCCTCTTCTCCTTTTGCCTTCAATCTTTCCCAGCATCAGGGTTCAGCCTTAACATTTTGTCTTCCAGGTTGTCATTTTTAATGTTTTATCATGACCAGGGAATTTATCAGCCTTAACATTTTGTCTTCCAGGTTGTCATTTTTAATGTTTTATCATGACCAGGGAATTTAAAGAGTCCTCTCTTCGCATTAGGTGACCAAAGTATCTGAGCTTGAGCTTCATTATCAATCCTTCCAATGAGCAATCAGGGTTGATTTTCTTTAAGATTGACTGGTTTGATCTCCTAGCGGTCCAGGGGACTCTTAAGAGTCTTCTCCAGCACCACAGTTCAAAGGCATCAGTTCTTCAGCACTCAGCCTTCTTTATGTTCCAGCTCTCACAGCCATACATTACTACTGGAAAATGATCAGCTTCGTTATTCCACCTCTAATCCCTATATGAGGAGTATGGACATCTATGAAGTCTTCTCTTTGTACATATTCCTACTTGACATGGGGAGGGGGGAGAGGAATCTTTATGACTTTGGAGGCAGAGCAAGAAGAGCAACTCACACCCACTCTTAACCAAATGGACTATTGGCTTGAGAGGTTTTGCCATTTGTTCTAGCCCATCAAGGTGATACCCAGAGGCACTACTCAGTCTGAGTCCTACCATGACCAGCCAACTAACCTTCTCTGCCATATCTGCAACTAATGAGTATAAATGTAGGATATAAATCAACAATATAATATCATCTTAATCCTACATCATCTATTATATTTCCAAGTCTATCTCTTATCAGATAATATTTAGTCTTTTTATTTGGTATATGCTTAAATGCAGTACAAGACTTATTTTTCCCCATAACCACCACTGTATGAGGTAAATTGGGCTGAAAGAGCATGACCAGTCCAAAGTTAACCACTGAGAGCTTCCATGGCTGAGGCTAGATTCACGTTAACCACTGTATATACCACACTGGCTCTCAAAACGTTTCTGCCAGTTTTTACATGTCAAACCAGGGTTTCCACCACTACATTAGTGAGAATGACTTACACCCAAGTTGCTTTTACGCATGTCTATGTCTGCACGTTTCTGAGAATTAGTTTGTTATATACCATGGTGGCCCTCCAAGTCAGAAAATCTCTGAAGGGGTATGGTAAATAATGTCCTGCTTCATTATATAAAAAGTAATGTCTTAGCAAAGTTAGCATATTAACCAGAAAGACTATCACAGCCTGAGCCCTATTAGTGAGTAGTATTTTTATTTGTTATGAATTTATATTTAATCCCTGTAAAGTCCTATGCTTCCCCCCAACAACCCTGTGAAATAGATTGGGCTGAAAGAGACTGACTGGCCCACTGTCATCCAGTAAGTGTTCATTCCATGGCTAAGGGTAGAGTAGAACCTGGGTCTCCACTGTCCAACATCTTAATCACTGCATCACACTGGCTCTCATTATGCTAGTTTTCTGCTTGAAGGGAGTTTTTCCTAGTGAGAATTGTGATAAAATACGATCCATGCCTACATGGATGCCTGAAGTAGTGCAGTTCACTTTGAACTACCCCAGCGTTCTGCAGAAGAAGGTCCCAGGTACACATCACAAGCTGCCAAGGTAGAGCTCTGGGCTTTGTGATATTGAGTGGTGCCATGAGAAAAAACACCAGGAAACAGATAGTTCCTGCAACAATGAAAGTATAAGCAAAATTAAAGTTATATTTTCAAGGATTTCAGTTGTTGGTGTGTATGTTAATTTTCATGTCTCTCAATTTCAGTAGTGCATGGCAACTATTTCATTGTCAATAGGTGATTAATTTCAGAGTTTATAAACTTCCATGTACAAAATAATCTCAGTTGCATAATTTAATGCCAAAATAATACTTAATATGACTTTATAGTGCAT